GCCCAGGGGACCTGAGTTGGTCATTCACAGCCTCTCATGGCAGAGGCAGACAAGTGACAGCCCTCTCTGGACGGTATGGCCAGTACCTTTCACGCCTAGGTTATATCTGCCACCTTTCACACTCAAGGGTACCAATTTAGACCATACATGGCATATGGTCACTCTATCATGTCTGTTGTAGCATGTTAAGTGTTCAGCAACATGGAATCAGGGATGACACCATGGGGGGCATTGCGCCAATCCTGCAATAAGTCAAAAGAGCTTTGAGGAACTTGGGGAGGGTGGTGGGATTAATTCAGGCTGGATGGCTAGGGAATCAGAAAGGCCTTTGGTCAAAAGTCCGCATGAGCTGGGCCTCAAATCACAGGCAGAAGTCTAACAGGTTAAGCAAGGGGGAAACCTATCAGGAGTAGCACAAGAATCAGCAAGTTAGAGGACAGATGCCTGATGGACAGTGCCATGTGCCCGACCCTGAGAACACCAAGATGGGTGAGGCACAGGCCCTGGCTGGAGGGACTCAAGACGTATTTCAGAAGAGTGAAGCCTAGGGTCGGGAAGACTAGAGGGTGGTGGGCCTCCTGCCAGCACCTGTCCAGCGTGCACCCAGCGGCTGGGTCAGAGCTTCCAACATAGTGAGTGCCCTGCTCAAAGCCACCCATTTTCCCAGCATCCCAGATCCCTCCTTGACTGCCGTCCTCTCTAGTCATCTGTTTACTGCCCTGCATCACCTGTTACCTGCATTCACCTGTGTTCCTCACCTGGGCGCCCCACCCACTTTCGGGTGTTTCTAACAAGCCCTACCAGTGTTTTGTACTCAGAAAGACCCTGGTAAATATTTCCTAAGAAACTGAACACATCCAGCCCTGGCCAGTGTGGTTCAGTGGTTAGTGTCAGGCCTCGCACTGCAGGATCACAGGTTCAATTCCCAGTCAAGGGCATGTACCTGGATTGCAGGTTCCATCCCTGGCCCTCAACACACCTGTTTCTCTCCCCACACCTTCCACTCTTCCTAAAACTCAATGGAAAAAATACCCTCTGGTGAGGATCAACAAAAAATCTCTTTTGCCAGCCACTGAATGGTCCCTGGTTCTGTCAGTCCCGGGAGGGTGCAGGGTGCAGACCTGGGGCTCAGGAATGGTGGGGTTGGGGAAGAGGGAAAGAAATGATTGCCCAGCATGAGAATGTGGAGGGAAGCTGAGGAAGGACAGGGACAGGACCCTTGAAAGGACAAGAAATGTGGGCTGAGAAAGGACAGGGTACAGCAGGCACGGAACATCTGGCCCCAAATGACAGGCTGCCGCGCACACCTGGCCAGCCCACTCTCACAGCGCATGCGACAAGGACAGGTGGGAGTGCGGGAGGCGCGGGCTAGACTGGTGTGCCCGCCACGCCCCAGCCCAGCAGGCGCTCAGGCGGCACCAGGGAACCTCGCAGGACAGCACCAGCCGTGCGCTTCTGCTGCCCCCTGCTGACAGCGTGGGGCGTGACATTCCTGGGGCCCATCCCTCTCCAAACACACCTTGAGAGAGACCAAGCCTTATGTGGGGGCTTTATAAAGAGTCCCCTTGTCCAGCACATGTTGGGACCAGGCCCCCTCACACAGGTTCACTGTTGACATGGAGGGGCTGGCACCCACTGACGGGCATCAGGCTAATACACCTGGACCTTCTCATTGTGCAGTTGGTAACAATTAAACAGACATGGACAACCCCTTCACTGGGCATGGATGCAGATCCCAACCCCTAACCACAGGCACTAACCAAGTGATCTGGTGTACATTGGACTGGGGGGCACGTGGGGGGCAAAAAAAGCCTGGTCACTGAGCACCTATTAGGCACCAGGTAGTGTACCGGGCACTGGAAAGATCTGGCCCAGCAGCTCACTTGAAGACATAGCTCAGAAGCACTTACCACTCACCATGACATAACATGGTACAGGAATGGGGGCGACGAGGCCCCACATCCCCCACAACCTATCTCTTGCTCATTTTTTAACAAAATTCCTTGACCATTCTGATATTTCCAGTAAAGCTTTCTAAGAGGTGACTACACCCACTGCCTCTAATGTGTCACTTCTGGTCTTTGTGAGACCCTTAACTCAGGGGCTTGAGTTTGGACTTGAAGAATCCAACTGCTACCCTGGACAGGTGGCTCAGCTGGTTGGAGTGTTGTCCCATACACTGAAAGGTGGCAGGTTCAATGCCTGCTCAGGGAGCATACAGGAGGCAACCGATGTTTCTCTCTCACATCAATGCTTCTCTCAGATCAATAAAAACATATCCTCAGGTGACGATTGAAAAAATAAAATTTTCCCCATTTCCTTCTATGAAGCTGGGTCAGACTGGGCACTCCCACTGTACCTGTTGTCTCATCTGGAAAAAGGCAGCTATGATGCTAACCCACCCCATTGTGGGAGTAAAATGGTCAGTGCAAATGTCTAATACAGGAAAAGCCCTGGGTGGGTTCTGGCCACTGTTGTCAGGATCGGGCTGCGG